GTGTGTGTGAGAGAGAGAGAGAGAGAGAGAGAGAGAGAGAGCGTACTAGACATGGAAAAGGGAAACAGGGCTTCTTAAATCCGGGGAAAATTTTTGCAGGCACAAAACTTTGAGTTTGTGTCAACTGGAATTTTTGTATGTGCAAAAACTTGGGCACCCAAACCTGGGATCTAGAGACTACTGTGGACAAAACTGCCCATTCGCCACCACTGCAAAGCAGTCACTTCTGGGTGGTGGTGGTGTAGGCATGGGGTAGGGGGAACATATCTGCCAGCCATACTGCGCAGTGGGAGATGGGTCTAGGAGGAGAAGTGAAAATAACTTTCTCAGCTGAAAATACCAGTGGGATTTTAAGAGGGTTGAATAATTATTCAGGCTGGAATATGGTGAGAGCCCCTCCATAAATTGAATTGACCCCATTGCCTGGTGTCCAGTGCACTGATTTCAGCCCCGTTGAACTTTCTTTAAATGTATCTACAGTTTATTAAAATTTTGTCCAGAACCAGGCAGTGTTTGCAACAGTCTGGGTGCAAACTGTGGACCCCTCTCCACCACCTACTATCACAAAATTCTGTTCTCTACAGGTTCCAATACTGTGACATCTAAAGTCCAGATCCTGAAGGATATTTAGGCTCCTAACTTCTGCTGGGCCTAAGTGCCTTCTAGGTGCATTAAATGATGCGGCTAACATCCATCTGTGACACAGAGGCCCATTGGTGCTGATGGGCAAAGGGTTCATTGTTCTTTACAAGCAAGTTCTGTTTGAGACCGGGCAAACTCAATACCCCTAATATACCACGTTCATATATTTATCTGCAAAGGGTAGTATGTGAGGCCTCTACTGAAAGCTTGTAACTTATCAATACTCATAATCATTGTGAGATAAGTGTGCGGGTAATGTTTTCAATAGTCACAAATTATGCCTTATGGCCTTGGAGTAAGTCACCAGGGATGCATCTGTCTCATGATGAGCCATCCAAGTGGGAGGGAGTTGTCACCCCTCCCTGGTCAGCCGGTGATGTAATGCAAGGTTCAATTGTCTTGCCCCATCCCAGAACAGTCAATGGAAAACTGTCAAAAACAGTTGCAAACAATCAAAACCACTTGGAGGTAAAAAGGAGCATTACAGGAGACGGGGATCTCCCTGCCAGTGGATGAAGACAAAAGATGGGTTCAGTACATCACAGGGTGGAGAAAGACTCTCTGCACCCATTCACTGAGGTGACATCTTGTTCTGCGGGTGTTTTGTGAAAGACAGATCCTGATTCCTGGGAATCCAGCCAGCTCTGTAACAGACTGAACTCGGCGGGAGGGTGGGAGATCTGCCTTATAAGATAGGAAAGGTTGCTGCTGATAAGTGTGGGCCATAGTTCACATTTTTTATGATTTCATTTTGTATTGTAACCATTTGTTTCCATCCCTCCGGGGAGTAACTGCAGCGCTCCACCCAGAAGCAACCAAGGCCAGGTCTACACTACGGACATACGGGTAGAACTATGTCGCTCAGGGGTCTGGATTTTCCACACTCCTGAGCGATGTACTTATACCGACCTAACCTAACCTCCCGTGTAGACAGGGCTATGCTGGCAGGAGGACTACGTCCATCGACACAGCTCCTGCCTCTCAGGGAGGTGGATTAACTACGCTGGCGGGAGAAGCTCTCCCATCAGCTCAGGAGCGTCTTGGCTAGAGGACTGCAGTAGTGCTGTACACGAAGACAAACCCTAATACTGAACAGGGGACCAGCGCTTCCACTATTTCGCTTGTAAGGCGCTTTGGGATCCTGCAGGACGAAAAGCACGACAGAGCCATAAGTTGTTATTACAATGCTGCTGGCAGTCTGTAGCAAACTCTGAACATCAACCTGTTTCCTTGGTACTATTCAATTCATCCCCACCTGGAGGCCCTCTGAGGTCATGTTCTCTTCATTATCTCTTAGATTTCCTGCGCATTCCAGATGATTAGTTCCCTTTTCCTTTCTCAGAGGTCTTATCTAAATATATATTTCAGCATCCAGCGCAAAGAAGCAGGACACTGATGGAGCAATTGCAAAGGAAATGCTTTGTTTTGCCTGCCGGATGCAGCCTGAGAGCATATTATTTCCCGCTGTCTTTTGCAGTGCCTTGTGTCACCATATCGGGTCTCTGGGGGTCTCCGCAGATATTATATCCTTGCTACAGCAAGACTTGTGGGATCCAGGCTGTTGGGAGTGGATGTAAAGAGTGCACCAAGGAAGCTAGGCCCAGTGCATAAATTATATGGGTTCTGCCCACCCCAGAACTATGCTACATATCTTTGAGCTCCATCTACCGGCACTTTATCGATTACTTATTTACATATATACAGGCACAGAGCACTCTTGTAACAGGCCTAAGTCACTTCAGGGCCCAGTGGCACCAATATGGCAGCTGCTGACAACAGTTAAGTTAGCTTTTGATTCTTTCATGTTTGATGGTTTGATATTGGTATTTTGGGCCCTAATCCAGCAACTGGCTGGCCCCTTGGCCTCATGTGGCCCTAGGAAATCAGTGAAGACTATGGCAGGAGAGTGTCTCCATGGAACAAGTGGCAGAACTGTGGACTTAAAACAGTGCTGTCCTTTTTGACATGAGCAGCTGGTCAAAGTTCAGGGCCTGCGGGTGTTCCAGTTGGCTGCAGGAACTGATGGAGTCTGGTGTGCTCTTTGGTGCAATCTTGCTATTGACAAGGAACGGACTGAATTCTGCTTCTCTGAACACAGAAGGAACCAAGAACAACAAGAGCAGTTTCTTAGCTTATAGCCCTCAAGCTTCTTTAGCTACCATCACACCCCAAAGCTCTCTCTCTAGCTTCTTCGAGGGTCACACTGTGCTTACAGGCTCCGGCTTGGTTGTCTTGCCTCTCCCTCTCCCTCTGGTCTTGTCTGGTCTGATCTTAGGCTTGGTCTGCGCTAGCAATTCATGTCGGTATAACGCCGTCATTCGGGTGTGTGGAAAATCCATGCCCCTGAGCGACACAGTTATACCGACCTACCTCCCAGCGTGGAAATGACTAAGGCTTCTCCCGCCAACAAGGCTGCTGCCTCTCGGGGCAGGGGATTACCAACGGCAACAGAAGCTCCCCCGTCAGCGTAGGTAGTGTCTTCACTGAAGCACGACAGCTGCACCACCGCTGCCTTTTAAGTGTAGACAAGCCCTGAGTCCTTGTGGGATCTCTCCTCCCACACACACACTCCCAAACCAGCGCGTAGGTAAATGCTCCTGGATGGGTTCGCAGAGAGGCGGCACTAGCTATATGCAAGCTAGGAAGCTGCCTAGGGCCATAGATTTCACGGCAGCTGGTTCGGGCCACAGATTTGAATGGCATTGTGACCCAGTGCTCCAGGTGACAACTCCATTCACTCAACTTTGGCCTAGTTCTCTGTCTGTCATGGCAGATGAGCGGTTGAGCCAAAGCGGGGTGGCGTGGCACCTCAGTGAACCGGATCACATTGCCACTTACTTAAATTTGGCCCAGCTGCTTCTCTGTCATCATAGAGGGGCGGCCAGGCCCAATTTGAATGGTGGGTGTGTCGGGGGGGCGGGGCGGTACACTGAAGTATTGTCTAGGACGGCAGATTGTCTTGAGTGGCCTCTGGGTTCACACACCCTTTGTTTTAGGTGGGAGCTTATGCTCACAGTTATGTTAACTGAAGGCTGAGTTCACACCTTTCAGTCTCAATGGGGTTTTAACTCACCCCATAACAAGCTCATAACAATAGCAACAACCTAAGCACCATGTTTGCAGGTATCCAGTTGTGGAACATTATGCAATTATGCAAAATTATGTCAGACAGTTATTTAATGACAATAGATGCTGAGATTCAAAAAGTTAAAGCTTTATAAACTGGTAAAAGCAAATTGACAACATCAGGATGTCAAAATATACAAGGTATATATAACTATCCTTAACCTAACAAATCACACCTGGTTTTACCATTCATTCACTAGTCCATTTGTAACAAGCATTATTTCAAAAGTCTAAGTCACTGGATTTTGACTCTAATAAGTTCTCAAGTAGCATTTTGCTTCCTTTGCCTATCTGTACATTTTGATTCTAATCAATGGAAATGTTTTGTCATCAGTTTGTGTGTGTGTGTGTACGGTGAAACTGATGACAAACCCACGTTTACTGATAAAAATCCAAGCTTAAATATAAACTTCAAGCTCTTTGCATTAGTGGCTGTACAAATGCAAAAAAAAAAAAAAACCTTCAATTTTCTAGTTGTGCTGTGGTTCTGAATTAACTACATTACATTTAGACAGGATGGGGACAAAAACACACTCAGACTGGGGTTGGTCCTGCTTTGGGAAGGGGGCTGGACTAGATGACCTCCTGAGGTCTCTTCCAGCCCTCATCTCCTGTGATTCTATGAAATGGTGGCAGCGTTTGGATCCACATCAGAGCTTTGTTGCCGCTTGTGTTCCTTATGTCTCCGGTTGACCTTTCTGGTCGCTTGCCCCTCCCGTCTTTCCTCCCAGCTTTGTTCAAAATAATAATAATAATAATAAAAAAAAAAATAAGAAAACTAATCTAAAGCTGCAAACCCAGAAATCCAGCCCATTCTGGTGCCGGCCGATTGCAAACCAGACGTGACCGTGGGGGTGTCATTTCCAGCCCCCTCTCTACCCAAAGGCTCATGTATAGGATCAAATATCCAGGCTCCCCCCCACAGTCCTGGTCTGCGCCGCCGGGCAAGCGGGCCGGGGAGGGAGCCGCGTGCTGCTCTCCTGGGGGGTATAACTCGGACGGGCGAAGGGAACCTGCCGCGCCGCGCTGCTTTCTGTCCCGTTTCTCTCTCCGTACAGAACGCTCCGTGTCCGGCTCCCGGCTCCGGTTACGGGGGAGCGCGGGCCGGAGGGGGGTGTTAATCGCCCCGCGGCGGTTGGGGCGGTTGGGCTGGAGGAGGGGGAGGGGGAGCTGCGCGGCTGTGCTTTGCCTCCCCTCCCCCCTCCCCCCACCCCTCCCGCCGGGGCCGAGCGCGGCAGCCCCAGCCAGAGCTGCGCGGGATCGATCCCCGCGGCCTGCCGCTCCCCGCGCCGGGCGGAGCGCCCCGCTCCCGGGCCCCGCTCCCGGGCCCCGCCGCCGCCGGAGCCGGAGCCGGAGGAGGGGAGAGCTCCCAACATGGCTGAGATCGGCATCGACCAGTCCAAGCTGCCGGGCGTCAAGGAAGGTAAGGCCGCCCCCCCCCCCCCGAGCCGAGCCGAGCCGAGCCGAGCCGGCAGGCGGGGTGGGGGGTTCTCCCCGCCTCGGGGAGCGAGCCAGGGGTCAGCCGCAGGTTTGATCCCCCCCCACCCCACCCGCTGTGCGGGGCTCGGACGTCCCTGGGAAGTGGTGGAGTTTCTGTGTGTGTGTGTACACAAACTACACACACATTTCGGGGGGGGTGTGTGTGTGTGTACACAAACTACACACACATTTCGGGGGGTGTGTGTGTGTGTACACAAACTACACACACATTTCGGGGTGTGGGTGTGTGTGTGTACACAAACTACACACACATTTCGGGGGGTGTGTGTGTGTACACAAACTACACACACATTTCGGGGGGTGTGTGTGTGTGTGTACACACAAACTACACACACATTTCGGGGTGTGTGTGTGTGTGTGTACACAAACTACACACACATTTCGGGGGGGGTGTGTGTGTGTGTACACAAACTACACACACATTTCGGGGGGGGGTGTGTGTGTACACAAACTACACACACATTTCGGGGGGGGTGTGTGTGTACAAACTACACACACATTTCGGGGGGGGGTGTGTGTGTGTGTGTACACAAACTACACACACATTTCGGGGTGGGGGGTGGGTGGGTGTGTACACAAACTACACACACATTTCGGGGGGTGTGTGTGTGTGTACACAAACTACACACACATTTCGGGGGGGGGGTGTGTGTGTGACTATTTCTGCGGGCGAAAAGAGGAGCGGCCAGGGATGAATGGGGAGAGAGAGTGTGTGTGTGTGGGTCAGTGTGTGTCTTGTGCTGTTGTGAAATGTGACTCCCCCCCTTCTTGTGCTGGCGGCCCCTGAACCAAGCTGCACACCCCGCCTGTGATGGAAACCACTTCGCCCAGCCTCCCGGCGCCGATCCGGGGGGGCGGCTGGCCATGAACGCCTCCCCCCGGTTTGGTTCAGGGTGCCTGTGGCTGGCGAACAGAAACCCAGCTCCAGCTCCCCCCGTCCGTGGGATCCGATGTGGCTTTGCGGAACCCCTTTGGGCTACCAGGACTGGGGGGGTCACAAGCTGGTGAAGATCGGACGCTCCAGAGATGGAGGGAGCCCGTGGGGAGATCCGGCTTTTTGCTCAGAGCCCTTTTTACCTGTGTTGGTTTAAACTTAGGTCGGATGTTTTTTGTTTGTTTGTTTGTTTTTACCGGCCCTAAAACGGGGATGGGACTCGGCAGAGGCAAACCAGGCGCTGCTTTCAGCTTCCTCGGGATCTGCGGGTCACTTCCAATTCCGCTGGCCTGAACGTGCGCCTGGCCGCAGACCGGACCAGCCGCGCTTCTCCGGAGCGGCCCCGGATTAATTAGTGTCCCTGTGGAAGGGGGGTGTGTGGAGAGAGGGCAGCGGGGGGCTTCAGCACACCCGTAAGCATGGCAGACAATAAGCCTGGCTATGCAGTAGCTGGGAGCCCGTTCATGCTATTGATATGCAAATCTGCTCTTCACAGCCCTTGCCCCCAGCAAGTTAAGGGCCCAGCCTTGGGAACAGAGAGGAAAGGCAGAACTGTGGAGGGCGAAGAGGTTAATTCTTCCTCTTTTGGGGCAAAGCACGTTGTCAAATGAATGGTGCCCAGGATCTAGTTAAAACACGCTGTGGTCCCATGCATGCTGTGAGATTTAACCACGTTTTAAGGGTGCCCCGTGTGTCACGGTTCAAAGACGTGGGTAAAACATGGGTCAGTCCTGCCCCTGCTGCAAGGCCAAATGTGTTTTTGCCTGTGTCTGGACTAGCCATGTGGTAACCCAGTCCTCTAGCATCACAGATCTTATCTGTGCTCAGCTGCAGCGGTTAGCTCACGAAAGCTAATGCTCAAATAAATTTGTTAGTCTCTAAGGTGCCACAAGTACTCCTTTCCTTTTAACTAGACTGCAGTGTAGCTGGGATTTTACCTCTCAGGGCTTTCTTGGGTTTGCATTGTTCTAGAAGCAAAACAACCACATTTTTTGTTTTTTTGTTGAAAATTAGTTTAACTCTTACTCAGAGTGAGTGTGATCTAGTAACTGTAGCAAAGGCCTGGGAACTGGGAGCTCTGGGTTCAGTGCCCAGCTCAGACAGTCAGTGACTCAGTTTCTCCAGCTGGAAAGCAGGGATAACAATACCTGCCTACTTCAAAAGGGTGCTGTTGGGCATTATTAAAAATGCTCTGAGGTCTTCAGATGAAAAGTACTGTTTACGGGGAAGATATTGTTCCTGCTTACAACAGAGCAAATCTTTAGTAACGTCACCAGTCGAAGGAGTTACTCTGGATTTACACCAGTGTTACTGAAAGTGGTGAATGTTGTAATTACTGTCTACATCCATTCAAAACATCTTAGACATGTTTCCAAGTCTGTAGCCAATAGTATTTGTTTCATAGTTAATACAAAATAGCAAGCATACACTTGAAGATCCAGTTTAGTCTTAAAAACTTGAGTAGATGGAGGGGAAACAGGCCAAACCCTAAGAATTTTGTGTTAAAGCTTCTGTTTATTGCCAATAGAGAATGGTAGCATTCAGGGTGAAATCTTGGCCCACTTAAGTTAATGGCAAAACTCCCACTGATTTCAGTAGAGCCAATATTTCACCCTTAGTGCCAAATAACAATTTGATTATGGAGTGTTACAACATGGCTAAAATGTGCAGGGTAGGTGGAGCCTTTGTGTTCTGTAAAAAGAAAAGGAGTACTTGTGGCACCTTAGAGACTAACCAATTTATATGAGCATAAGCTTTTGTGAGCTACAGCTCACTTCATCGGATGCAAAAAATACCTCCCCCCACCCCACTCTCCTGCTGGTAATAGCTTATCTAAAGTGATCACTCTCTTTACAATGTGTATGATAATCAAGGTGGGCCATTTCCAGCACAGATCCACCAATTTTTTCATGCTTTGTGTGTATAAAAAGATCTTCTACACTTTCCACAGTATGCATCCGATGAAGTGAGCTGTAGCTCACGAAAGCTTATGCTCAAATAAATTGGTTAGTCTCTAAGGTGCCACAAGTCCTCCTTTTCTATTTGCGAATACAGACTACAGAACACAGGTTTCAGAGTAACAGCCGTGTTAAAGTCTCAGTCAAATACCTTTAATTTACTGGGAACATAATTCATCAGGTTTTATTCTGATGGAAAGCGCTGAACCCCAGTTGCGCTCTGTTTAGAATAGATTGCTTCATTACTGACCTCGCTGTTTCTAGCATCTGCTTATGATACCAGACAAAGGGAAGAAACAGAACAGCTTCCATAACCAGGGAAATATTTGTTCCAGAGGCAGAAAATCACTGTCCGTCCTTTTGGAGAAATGTCCACTCTGTTTATTTTGGACACAGGTCAGTGTGGTGATTCATTAACGGTTTGGAAGACCATTTTGCTACTCTGTTTGCTTTGGTTTCTTTATTTCTTAACTCTCCCCCAGATGAGAACTATCTCTGAGGGTCTAGTCATTGTGACAATAAGATGCCCTGGTACTGCTTGGAAGAATAAGGGTATCGTCACTGTTTTAGTGCTGCGGTCATATAAAATCTCTTCTAAGCTAAAAAATGTTAAGCTGATTCTGTCCTCGGATGGATAATCTAGCTAGATGCTGCAGGAAGTGGTGCTGGTTATTCAAATCTGCAGATGACTTCTTACTAAAGCCAGGTCACTTTTGCCGACACTTAAAAAGAGTAAATGGGATGATCTGGGTAATTAGAGGCTTGTCTGTCTGACATTGATCCTGGGCAAGATAAGGGAGTGGCTTACATAGGGCAGAATTAAAGGAGGGTAATATAATTAATACCAATCAACATGGGTTTATGGAAAATAGGAAGCAAGTTTGACAGGGTCTACTTTTTTTTTAAATGAGACCACAAATTTGGTTGATGAAGGTTATAGCATTGGTGAAATATACTTAGACTTCTGCAAGGCATTTTGACTTGGTACCCCACAACATTTTGATTGATAAAACTAATTTGGCACACACTAAATGAATGAAAAGTTCTCTCAAAATACAATTGTAAATGGGGAATTATCATCGAGTGGGTGTGTTTCTACTGGGGTCCCGCAAGGATCTGTTCATGGCATTCATCAGTGACCTGAAGGAAAACAAAATCAGCACTGATAAAGTTTGCAAATGACACAAAAATTGGATGAGTGGCAAATAACAAAGAGGACAAGTCACTGATAGACTGATCTGGATTGCTCGGTAAGCTGGATGCAAGCAAACAATATGTATTTTAACACAGCTAAATGTAAATGTGTGCTTTTGGGAACAAAAAATGTAGGCCACGCTTACAGGATGGGTGATGCTTTCTGAAAAAGATTTGGGAGTTCTGGGTAATCAGTTGAACATGAGTTCCCAGTGTGATGTTGTGGCCAAAAGGGCTAATGTGAACCTGGGATATGTAAACTGGGGAATCTTGAGTAGGAGTCGCTGGAATACTGTGTCCAGTTCTTGTGCCCACAATTCAAGAAGGATGTTCTAAATCAGAGAGGGTTCAGAGAAAAGCCATGAGAATGATTTAAAAAATGAGAAACCATGCCTTATAGCGACAGACTGCGACCAAGTCACCCTTAACCTTCTCTTTGTTAAGCTAAATAGATTGAGCTCCTCGTGTCTAGCAGTACATAGATGGGGGAACAAATATTTAGTAACAGGTTCTTTGATCTAGCAGACAGAGGTATAACAAGATCCAATGGCTTGAAGTTGAAGGTAGGATACAAGGTGTACGGTTTGAACAGCGATGGTAACTAACCACTAGAACAGTTCAAGGGTCATGGTGGATTCTCCATCACTGGCAATTTTAAAATCAAGATTGGATGTTTTTTCTACAAGATTTGCTCTGGGAATAACTTTGGGGGTGCTCTCTGGCCTCTGCTCTGCAGGAGGTCAGACTAGGTCAGGGGTGGGCAAACTTTTTGACCCGAGGGCCACATCGGGGTTCCAAAACTGTATGGAGGGCCAGGTAGGGAAGGCTGTGCCTCCC